CAGAGGCAGAGACTCAGACTTAGTGCAGGCTGGCAGATTCCAAGCCGTGGTTTCTCTCCAGGTTTTCTGATAGTCAGGCAGGAACATCATTACTGGCAAACACTCTGGCGCTGGAGTGTCAGTCTCCTCCTCCTTAAGTAGGAGTCTTCTCGATGAGCAGATGGAAGACAGGTGTTGCAGGTGAGCACAGGCCCTCAGGAAGGGATCCTCGGTGCCCTCTGGTGGACAAGCCTCCGGATCCCAACAGTTTTAGTCTATTTTATGAATCTCTGTAGTTCAGCGAACACTTATTCTGTATTTTTAAATTAGTTATAGCTGTTTTTATTTATTTTTATATTTGTATTTTACATTGTAGGATGCTTACTGTTGTGTTTTTTTAGGAAGACAATTTTAAGATCTGTCCAGGGACAACAGATGAAAAATAGCCTTTTGGCTAATTCTGGTGCATTTGCAGGAATGTTTTTTTAATGTACACTGTCCCTGTCAAATAAAGAAATTAATTAAACATACCTAAGCACTCAAATACAACCAAAAATAACTACCGGTACAATAAAACAAAATGGAAACAGAGCCATTGAAAACTCAAAGATAAAACTTCAACAGAACCAAAACCATGACAGCGTAAATGTCTGAGTAACAACAGTTTATGCTCTTATCTTTCACAAGATGCCATAATAAAGTGGTGAAAGTTATTTTCTATTTTTCTAGATTTAGTGAGGTTCGGTTGTGCCTTGCACGGTCCACTTCAGCTAGGTTACATGAACATACAAGTCTGCAGCTCTCCTGCTTTTTCCTACTTTGTTTCATCTCATTTACAGCCGGCACCTCAGAAATCTCATCGGGGAAAGACTCATTTTCAAAGATGCCTTCTGTGATTCATGTGGCCCAGATGGAGAGTTAAACCTACCTTTATGGATCCAAGTGTGATCATAAAAAAAGATGTGATGAAACAGGAAGCGATTCTGGATGGATGGATGGAAGGTTAAAAAAATGTGAAAAAGAAGATGGGAATAGAGAAGAATCAAAAAATGGGAAAAGCAGAAAAAGCAGAGCATTCAGGCACAGAACAATGAAGTGATGAACAATCTATAAATTCCACAGAAAACTAAATGTATCATGATCTGCCCTGATTGCTGACCTTAATTGTTTACTTAAAGGAGAATTCCGGTTTTTAACACTTT